TTAATATAATCATTATTTTAATTATTTCAGTTATTATTTTAATAATATTATTATATTCTATATCATAATTATATAATATATTACATAATAATAATATTTTGTGTTATATTAAATATAATAATAAATATATATTATATTGTAATTACATATAATATATTATATTATATTATATTATATTATAGTCATAATTTGTAATTAGCCACAGTAATTCAACCTCATAATTTACCAAACGTTATTATATTCATTTTGAAACCAGCATAACTACTATAATTATAATTTATCAAACACTTAGCTGTTTTTTTTAACAGATGTTTCTTCTTTTAATACAACTAAAAGTAATTTTTTCAAAATTCACAATACTCTTAAAAATCTCGCAATATATATATATATATATATATATATATATATATATATATATATAAAATTCAATTATTATCCTTTAACAGTACATCAGACATATATAGAATATATAAAGTACCTCATCATGAAGCGGATCATAAAGTGTTTTGTTGATTGCACTTCCAAAATCTAATAAAGATTAGTACTATATTAGAATTACATTAATGTTAATTAATTGGAACACAGGTTAAAGGGAGGACGACATGTCTTTCGCAATGCAAGTTTGGTATATCACTTTTTCATGGGCAAATTACAAAAGTGGCCTTGTGGATGAGTCGAGATTCCTTAACAGGGTGGATGTGTGTGTGTGTGTGTGTGTGTGTATGGATGTATAATTATATAGATATATAAAAACCAACCGCACATAGAAGATAAATACATACACGCACGCGCGCGCACACACATTCAATGGCTTTAACATCAGGAAACGAAGATACCAAACCTCCCCCTCCAATGAGAGCTAAGAACCCACCAAAACCCAAAACATAATTCCATCCTTAATTCCCAATATATCTCTCCATATTCTTTCTTTCTACCTTTGATCTCCTAACGGAAAACAAAAACCAATCAACCCATACAACTAGACTAGTATTTTCTAATTATACTTTTCTCTTTTTTCTCATCTTCTTCAGCTTGCCAATATGTGTTTCTGTGATTTCTCCTCGCTGCAGTATTACTACTGATCACATCCATAGATAGATATATATATATATATATATATGTAGCACACCATAAATTCATATTTATTTTGTATTCTCATTCAAAAAAAAAAACAAATATATATATATATATAGAGAGAGAGAGAGAGAAAGTAGTTACACGTAACTCCCGTTACGTGCAATGCCAGGAAAGCTAATACAAGGTCCGGAGAAGGCCACCCACCCGGTCATCTGGTGCTTGGCCATCGTTTGCACGGTGGTGGCGATCGCAGTCATCATAACGGGGCTTGTGGTGTTTGTGGGCTACTTAGTAATCCACCCCAGCGTCCCCATCATCAGCGTCGTCTCCGCTCATCTGGACAAGCTCCAAAACGACATCGCCGGACTCCTCGAGGCAGAGCTCACCGTTGTCGTGAAAGCCGAAAACGAAAACGCCAAGGCTCATGCCAGCTTCAGCGACACTTCTTTCTTTCTTAGCTTCCAAGGCATCGTCATTGCAAAGCTCGTTGCCGAACCCTTTGAGGTGGCTAAGAATGATTCTTTACAACTCCCTTACAAAGTGCTTTCCTCTTCTATTCCTCTTAATCCTGAGGAAATGCAGCAAGTGGACATGGCCTTAAAGGATGACCGGATTACGTTTGATCTAAAGGGCCATTCCAGGGCCCGCTGGAGGGTGGGCCTATTGGGCTCTGTCAAGTTCTGGTGTAACTTGAATTGTCAGCTCAAGTTTCATCCTTTGACTGGTTCTTACATGAGCTCACCTTGTACTTCAAGGGCCAAATAATTATTTATTTATTAGCTTAATTAATTTAATTTGTGTACATATCTATATATATATATATATATGTATGTATGTATGTATGTACGGTTCTTGTTCTGTCTCACCTCTGTTATGAGTATCTTGTTAGTCTTTATCATTCTTGTTGATCAACATGATCAACATTTTCTTAGCTCAGGATTAGCGATATTTAAGTGTTGGTAACCCTCTTGAAGAATTTAGTGAAAAAATAAGTTTATATGGAGTCTCATGTACTTTTGAGTTTTTTTTCCCTTTATTTTCTAAGAGTTTTGATGCTCTTAATCCCAGAACAATTAGTATTATGATGATGAATTTGTCCCTCAATTTTCTTTTTCCGCCGGGGGAGTTTTACAAAAAAAAAAAAAAAAAGTAATTACGTTTTATGCATAGTATTTCACAATTTTTAGTTGTTTTTAGACATTTTTTTCTTCATATATATATGTATATATACACATATATATATATATAATATAGAGAGAGAGCAAACACAACTTTGTTTATGTAAAAGCCTTGCCTGAGCAATCAAACCATTTTGGCTTTTGGCTTGGTAGTAGTGAGAGCCAAAGCAACTAGAAAGAAGACCCAAAGAAAAATATAAATGCGGTGCTCCATATATAAAAAGGGATTTTTTTTTCATAAGTTAAGGTATCGATAGATTAAATTTTTTATCTGTTAAATTTATATAAAATTACATAAAAATATACAAATATACAAATTTAATATTAAAAAAATTCTGATGCACTAATACGTCAAACATACTAAAAATTTCTCTTATAAGAAGACAACCTTGTGCTTTTGGTCTCTCATAATTGAATTGCCCTTTTAGCCTTTCATGTCGGTCAACATTCGCCTTTCCAGTTGCTTCTCAATGGCACCACATCCTCTTTATCTTTTCTATAATAAGCTAAGAAGTTTGTGAAACATATCAGGATTACGTTACTACTGGTTTCTACTTTTTTTTTTTTTTTTCAACCGATTTCTACAACTTGCACTACGTTATAAAGTAGATTATGCAAGTCCTGTGTGATGCATAAAAACTTGTTCTAAATCCTAAAAATACAACGAATCCTTTCTCTTTATTTTATTTTTATTTTATCCTCGACATATCGTGATTTTATTAGAGACACTAATGGAAGGAGTATTTTTTTTTAACAGTTCATAGTTCTATAAGAATAGCTGTTATGTTTTGAAAATTAAGAGAAATTATTACACGAGTTATAGTTAAGAAAGAATTTTTGCAATTAATCTTATATATATTCATATTAAAAATATTTTAAAAATATATGTATACATATATCAAGACACTAAAAATCTATTTAGTTGGAGGATTCGTTCTCTGATTCGAATCATAATTCATGATTCATTACAGTATTTTTTTTTCATAAAAGATATATATAAATTAAAAATAATTTTAATCTTATAATTCTGATCTATGAACCAAACGAGCTCGAAGACAAGAGGGAACAGGGGGCGTTTTAAGGACAACATAAATCCCATGCCAATCCCATCCTCATTTGATAATTTCTATGCCCATCCTATTCGGGCACCTACTCGTGTCGTGGCTACTTGTAGTTGCGGGCGGGTAAAAAGGAATCGGGTCGGGGTGATCCCCTTTTAAAATTTTTTTAAATTTAAAAAAAAATAAAAAAAATAAAATTATTATACAAATATGATGAAAGGCACTCTTTCTTAAGTTGGCGTAAAATTCTCCGCAAGCAAGAAGAGGGTTGGCGGCGATTCATAAGCATGAGTGCATGAGCAATGCAACGGGGAAGTGAGCCGTGAGGAGGCGTGTGTCGGACAGAGTGCTACATCTGGCGGCGACGCTCTGCCATATTTCCCGCTTCTCTTTCTCATTAATTATCTATTCTAACTTGTAAATCAATAATTGAATTATTATAAATTCTAAGACTAAAACGTGTCAGTTCCGAAATATGGTGTTACTGCCACCTATTCACTTTCTTCAAACTGCTTTCAGCTTTTCCCATTTTCTGATATTCATTATTATCATTATCCACTTTCTTCCTACTTTATACTCTTTTCCTCTCCATTAGTCTCTTATGCCCACTTCCTAACTTCCTCTGCTGCTATGCTCGTAAGTGTTCCTTCTCTTTCTTTGCTTTTTCGGACTTTTTTTTTTTCTTTTTCTTTTTTTTTTTCTCTCACTTTTGGCTGCTTACATTTTCATATACATACAGAAAAAGTTTTCTTTTTTTGTTTTTTAAGTTGAATCAGTTTGGTATTTGCTACCTTTAGTTATAACTTAATGGCGTTGTGGGTCTAACGTGGGCAAGTCTCCCTAATCTATTTGTTCATTTGCTACGCAATTTCGGTTTATAGGATATTTGGTCTTGCTTCTTAGTACTTTATACTGTTTTCTTTTCAGTTTTGACTTTTCTTTTTGCCAGGTCAAAACTTACTCGGAACGAACGATGTTCACTTGCTTTGAGAAAAAGGTACCAAAGATTTTTTGCTGTCATGTTGTTTGAATTTCCTTTTTAATAGTAATTCAATCAATGACTATTTGGGGAATTTTTTATTTTTATTTATTTTGGGCAAGTATGGGAAATGCATTTGAGGAGCAGTAAAGAGTGGTGAATGCGATGGGATTGTTATTGTCAGAGTTAACACGGAGCGTAGTAGTGTTGGTGACGAGGCCTTTCATTGTTTTCAAATGGGCATGTTTGTTTGGGCTGAGGACTGCTTTCATTTTCAGTATTACCTTGACAGAGTTGTTAAAGGCCACAATCTATTTGCATTTTAGTTTATTCTGGAGAATGTTTGTGTGGACAATTGCTCTTCTAACTCTTCCTTTACGACTTCTCACTGCCATTTGGAGGGAGAGGCAGGTCAGATTCTACTCTTCTTTCTTTTTTTTTTCTTTTCAATTGCATTCTTATCACTTTCCCTTCCTTTGATGGATGTAAAACGTCAAATTTCCTGTGAATGTTATTTTGTCTGAGATTTACACCTACGAATCACTTGTGCGGCTTGAACTTCAATTTAGTCCTTGAATTTACAAAGAGTGGCGATTTTTTAGATGGAAAATGTTGGGAGTGTGAGAACAATGTCCCACATTGACTAGACAGAGAATCGATAACAAGTGATATTAAAGCGAGACAGGACAGCCTGTGGATCAACCTTGTCGTGACAAAATCCCTTATTGAGAGAATTTTCACACTTATAAATGAAGTTGCCTAAGAGACTGGTTAGAGAAAAACAGTATTGAGTCTGAGAGGTTGCTTCTGCGATTTTATTGGTAAAGAGTTAAAGACGTCTAACTCTTAACAACATAAATATATAGTGGTTGTTATATTTGGCAGCTGGAAATGCAACTGCGTTATATTGAGAACGAGTTGGAGAATGTTGAATGGGAGCGAATAAAACTTGAGAAACATCTCCAGACAGCCGTGAAGGAACATAGAATGATGGAGCTGATTTTTGCAGACCTTGAAGACCAACTTGACAAAGCCATTGCCAAAATTCAAATTTTACAAGATGAGGTACTACAACTCACATTTCATGATTCATCCTCTTTCTGGTTTTTTGTTTCTCAACAGCTTTTCTTATTATATTTCCTCTACCTACATACTACTGCCTTGTCGTAAATTTCAGACTTGACCCAACTCTAATTATAACCTTTTTGTGGTTCCTGTTAATATTTACTAATAAGACTCATAAGTTCAAGCAGTAATTTCCTTTTCTCTTTCTTTTTTTTTTTATTTTATTAAAATTCCAAACCAATTTCTAGGGAAATGTTAGTCTTTTAAGGTTGCATCGGGTTTATGGTTTTTGATTCTCACATTGAGGATCTTCAACTATGTATTAGCACTAAGAGCGCTGAATCCTACTTGTAAACAATCTCTACTTGATATAAAGATGTTTCTTACTTTCTAGGAGATTACACTCTAGTTCTGACATTGAATTAAGATGATTTTAGAGTGATGTGGGAAACAGCAAGAACATAAATGGAAGAACCTAGTAGTATGGTCTCATCAAATGGCTAAACTGATTTATTGGTTTTCCATTCTTGGTAAGTCGATTCCAAAATTAGTCCTTATTCAGTCACGAATGTTGTTCTGACAGTTGAAGGAAGTGAAAACCGAAAACCTTCGGCTGTTGGAAGTTCAGGGCAAGGGATACTGGAGCCCAATAAGCAAAGATGATACCGGTACGGGCCATGACAGTGGATTTGCTGACAGATATGGCATATCATATGGTTTTCCCAAATGGAAACCGAGTTATGATGGGAGTGGTATGATCCTCCAAGACCTTATGATGCTCGCAAGTACATCGGGGGACGAGAGCAAAACTAGCACCGAGTTGCTGAAGCTCTTGAAACCCGAATTGGGAACCATTCGCAGAAATTTGGAAACTTGTGAAGTCCTTGAACAAAGACGAGAGACGGCAATCATACAGAGCTTGTTCAGCGCAGTGTTGTCACTTTTTGTTGGATTGATCATCTGGGAAGCTGAAGACCCGTGCATGCCTCTTGTTGTGGCTCTGCTCACAGTGGTTGGGATGTCGCTAATGAGTGTGGTCCAATTTTTCTCAACCATTAAGAATAAACCTGCTTCTGATGCCGTCGCTCTCTTGAGCCTAAACTGGTTCATACTAGGCACACTTTCTTACCCAACATTGCCAAGAATGGCACGAACATTGGCTCCATTGGCATTGAGAATCGCCTACCAGGCCTCGAGGTTTGTTGGTCTCTCTTTTTCGTAGCACAGTTATTGTCTTCTGTCACTGTATCATACAACATGAACCGTTGGAAGTTTTGATGCTTGTAGATTGTAATGATACATGTTTACATAACCATGTACTATAGGGTGAAAGGTTTTTATCTCCTTGGTTTCTGTTGGGTGATATGTTGGGAAAAAATGGCTCTGTATATACATGTGTAAAATATTGACGCTGAAATCAAAAAGGTTTGGCAATTATTTTGAGATTGTGATGATGATACTACCTTCTTACTTCCTACTAAACTGGACGTGGATAAAGTAGAAGACTAATTAAATATTGGACAATAACCCAGTGGAAAGGAAGTGTGCCCAAGGTTGATGCATTTCTTAAATGGGAGTGGTTGGTGCCAGAGAATTTTCTATCTAAACTCTCTAATGATACTATGTATGTAAATCATTGAGTGATAGACTGATAGTTTGTCTAATTTCCCGACATTTCTGAGTGAATTGATAGGAATTTGGAAAGTTATTCCAAGTTTTATCTCTGTATTTTGTCTTTCTCGTACAGGCTATTGTACCAGCCTCTCCTGTCATGAGGTTTGTTTTTGCATTTATTTTGTAGAGGCTACTCCCAGTTTATGCAATTCTTTTAAGTGCAATTGATCGGGAACATTTCCTTCTTATCTGGGTGTTGTTTATTCAACGACATCTGCTCATGTACACACTAGTGTGTCTGATTTCCTTTTTTTTTTTTTTTTTTTTCCTTTCTTTTAAGGGTTATTGACACTTTTAGTTACTGAACTTTGGGCATAATGATATTTTGGTCTTTAAAATTTAAACTTTTAATTTGGGTATATTAGTCCTTGAATTTTCAATCAATTTTTGATAGTTTTGATTCTCGATATTAAAATCATTTGTTCAATTTTTTATAATTTTGGTTCTCTATATTAAAAACAAATGATTTTTAAAATTTAACATAAATAATTATTTTCTTATCACATAATAATTGAAAATTTTATGTAAATATTTATAATAACTGCAAAATGTTATAGTTTTCAATAGACTTTAATAGATTTTAAGTCATCACCCGATGAATTCATATTTTACAAAATTTAACATAGATAATTACTTTTTTATCACATAATAATTGAAAATTTTACGTAAATATTTACAAAAAGTGCAAAATGTTACAGTTTTCAATAGGTTTTAATAGATTTTTAAGTCATCATGCGGTGAATTCATATCTTACAGAAATTAGAAACCGTTGGTCGATTTTTAGTGTGAAGACAAACAATCCAAAAATTAAAACTTTAGGATTAACTAGTATTTTACCCATCATAAGTTATATAAGAAGTCAGTAGTTTTTATTGTACAGAATTAGTTTATGTACAAATATTTATATGTGAATATGTTTATATAACATGACAGTCATAAGAAGTTTTTACAATGCATTTGTGCTTTCTCTCTTACTTTCGCTGTTGCGGTTTTTAGCTGCAAAGTAGAAATTTTGGAAAAATCAGTATTGGTTATTGGGGATATTTAAAAGTAGTTATTATATTACCTGAGTTTTTGACGTTTTCTGAAATATTCTGTTTTCTGGAATATTCTGTTTCTTTTTTTTGATTGAGGGTTGAAATGATAAAAGATTATTCATATATATATTTAAAATTATAGATATCATTTTTTGTCAACAGATAATATAAAGTAGTGAAGACATCTTACCTTATGCTTGATTTTTTTAATCTAGTGTGTGTGGATCTATTAGTGGACGTTTAGTTTATGGATTTAGAATTATTCTCGTTTTACGTGTGTTTTTTGTGAGAGAAAAACACTGTAGAGAACCATGAATCATGATTCAAAATCATGAACAAATACAGAAAATAAACATACGCTTAGTGAATGTTTGGTTCATGTATTCAAAATCATGATTCAAAATCATTCTCATTTTACGTGTGTTTTTTGTGAGAAAAAAATATTGTAGAGAATCATGAATTATGATTCAGAATCATGAACGAATACAGAAAATAAACATCTTCGTGTTTGTGGATCTGCTGGCTAATATTTGTGCTGAGGGTATTGGAAGCTAAGCCTGAACTGACAGTAATGGAAGCAATAATATATGGAGGACAGAAATCTCCAGCAAAATCATAGAGCATGAAAAAGATCCAAAACTTTTTTGTAAAATAATGGACAAAGGGAGAGGGAAAAGCATGAGGATAATTCAAAGTAAGGCTTTAAAACAGTGAAAAAAAGTGCAGTGATGAGAAATATCAATTGAAAACGGCAACGAAAGAAAAATTGAGTAACACAAAGGAAAAGGATAGTGTATAAATGAATGAGAATCGAATAGAATAAAAAACGCTGAAAAAGTGAGAGCTAGAAAACAAAACTGATTTATGTGTAAAGAAGCTTCGAATAAAATAGTGATACTATAAGGCCAAAAGAATCATAATAAATAAAAAAAAGGAACAAGGACAGATAAAAGATTTTAGTAAAGAAGAATAAAGAGAAGTAGAATTGAAATGAGGGATACTAATCATATGAAACTTTAACATGTCAAAATTGATTATAACATCATCGCCACAGTTCAAACAGAATAGGAGCAAAAGATGTCAACCGAAAAAAAAAAAGAGGAAAAAAAGAGGCTAAATTCAGCAATAGAAATAGGAAAGTAATATTTATATAGATGAGTTTTAAATGAAATAGGTATATGATGAAAGAAAGAAGATCAGAATGAGCAACAAAAGAACAAAAGAGTGGTTAATCATTTTAGTAAGAAACTTGGACAAATTGAGAATCCAAGTTAGGAAAACATATTTAGAATAATTTATGGACAACTAGCATAAAACTGAACATCCTAAAATTCACTATAATCATTGTCCTTCCATTAAGAAAGCAACAACATATATGAAATGAAGATATGTATATAGATTTCATGTAAGAGAAAGTCAAACCGGCAGTCAATGTGACGAAAATTTACTAATGAAAGATAGAGGAAACAAAGAGGGAAAAGAAAAAAAAATTATGAACAAAAGTAAAAAAACAGAGACATCACATATTAATATTGGCAAAGGAAGGCAATATATTCAATATCAGGAGCATATATTAAGGACTCGTGGATAACAATTATTAATAGTACCTGAAATGCTATAAATACTCCTTTAAATGTGATATCTGGACCAACTAAATACAAACAAAGCAAAAGAAAAAATACTAAAATATCAAAATAAAGCGGTAAATCATTGATAATAAAGTAGAGCATTAAATAATTAAGGCTGAAATACATAAGACAATAAAGTGCAAGGAAAACAAACAAAAATATACAAAATACATTCATATGCAACAGCAATTTTTCTAAATAAACAAAAATATAGTACTAATATCTACTAATAACATAATAAAATCACCTGCAAACAAAAATTATAAAAGAAAAACAACATACGTATTAATACAACCACAACAAATGAATATATTGAACATCAGGAGCACATATTAAAGAGTTATGGACAAGAATCATTAATAATACTTCTAACGCTATAAATACTTCTTCGGGTATGAAGTGTCAACCAACTAAATGCGAAGAAAAGAAAAGCAAGGATATAGAAGTAGCAGTATAAAACAGTAAAGGATGAATAATGAAGTAGAGTAGTAAATGACTAAGGGTCAAATGCCGAAGAGAAAGAGTAAAGCGCAGGGAAAACAAACAGGAAAGTACAGAGTACACTCATAGGCATCATCAGTTTTTATATATTTAAAATTATAGATATCGTTTTTTGTCAACAGATAATATAAAGTAGTGAAGACATCTTACCTTATGCTTGATTTTTTTAATCTAGTGTGTGTGGTTCTATTAGTGGACGTTTAGTTAATGGATTTAAAATCATTCTCGTTTTACGTGTGTTTTTTGTGAGAGAAAAATACTGTAGAGAACCATGAATCATGATTCAGAATCATGAATAAATACAGGAAATAAACATACGCTTAGTGAATGTTTGGTTCATGTATTCAGAATCATAATTCAGAATCATGATTCAAAATCATGATTTAAAATTATTATCATTTTACGTGTGTTTTTTGTGAAAAAAAACCTCACACGTAAGAACAGAGCACCAATTTCTAGAGCATATAAATTAATATTCCTTAATCAAATGATAAGAGGAGTGTATTAATGCGGTAAAGAAAATAAAATAAGGGAATATAAAGATTAAATTGTAATCACCTCAGAGGAAGAAAAAGGCGAAAAAAAAGCAGGAAGAAAATGATAGAATAATTTTTTTTCTTCCCACATCTTTCACGTATCTGAGACAATAAAGCAACAAAATCAGCACAGGTCATCAACCTAGGCAGACATATCAGCATGCTAAATAGTACATATCAACAAATTAATAAATGCAAAAGAAGAAATCCAGAGTGATCTATACAATGCATGAAATCAGCAACAAAAAGGATCAAAATATCTATATTTTCTCAACAAAAGTTAAACACGGCAAACATCGGACAAAAAAGCCAATAAAAAAGCCAAGAAATTTAATCGAAGCCGTGACCAAAAAACATAGCTATCAAAAAACGGAGGAAAAATACTATAAGCAAAAAATGAAAAAGAGCATAAAACATGCACCTCAGCAAAGGCGCGCAGGAAACCAAATCAGGATCACGAATCAGCCCAACCAGACAAGAAGAATGCAAAACCCCTGCATGAAAACCAGATTCAAGAGAAAAAATTTCCATCAAAACCGCAGAAAACTCCCGAACAAAATCAACAACCAACAACCGAGTAATGGAGAAGGTAGAACAAACAGAAACCCCTAATTTTCACGAAAATCAAATAAAACAACCGAAGTAAATCGAAACACCAAAAAAGAAGGCTAAGGGTTTCAAAAAATATCACAACAGAAAACTCCCAAACAAAACCAAAGAATAAACTACTGAACAACCGAAAACGAAGAACAAATGGAAGCCCCAATTTCCACCCAAATCAAATGGAAGAAGCGGGAGGAAAGAATCAAAGATTTCTAAGGGTCCGTTTGGTAGAGGGATTCGTTCCCTGATTTGAATCATAATTCATGGTTCGCTACAATATTTTCTCTCATAA